CAAGGCCTTTATTGATTTTTTGAATAGAAGAGAACTCCTTTTTCATGTCGGCCAGCTTTTGCCGATTCTTAAAAGACTGCATCGAGAAAGAATGGGCGTGCTGGATGGCCTGAAAGAAAACAAAGGTATTAAAGAATATTCAAAGTATGAAATAAAGAGAAAGAAAAATTTACCAAGAAGAATACATTTACCTGAACAGAGTGCTGTATCATTAAGGCATAATTTTCATACTCGCTGTACTTGGCATTCCGCTCCAAGTCGCCTGGGAGAAGTAAAGCGGTACTGAGTGCAATGCCGACGTTAATATCGTCGGCACTGTCACTTGCCATTACAGGCTTATCTTCTAGGGTGATCTCGGGGGCCCAGGGGACAGCTGGTTTCTTTGACCCCAAAGTCGTTTTAGATGACCTCGGCCTTTTTGACTTGGAAGATTCAGAAGGAAGTACTTTGGCGGACCTCTTCGAAGGGACAGAGGCAGTTTTCTGGGTTGAAGCCAGATGTGGGATTGGCAAAGTGTCCTCAGTCTCAACCTGAGTCACTTTCGCCTTCGGTTGAGCTTTCTTAATTCTTTTTGGTTTTTCTGGAGGTTGGATTTGTGTTGGTTGTTCATCAATGGATGATGGAATGTCGGCTAGGAGGTCTTTAGCAACTGGCTTTGTGCGACCCATCTCGGATGCAAGAACAAGACATCGGCGACGTTTACTTTGGGATGGTGGAATGAGGTATGGAGCCGAGGTTGACGGCTGTTCTGCTGGATCAGAGGTTGATCCTTGGTCTGTTCGCGATGATGAAGCAACTAGAAGAGTTGTAGCAGAGGGAGGAGATGAGCTCTTCTTCTTCTTTTTTCTGGAGATGTCGAGGAGAGCTGATTTGTATGTTGGGATGAAGTTCAGAAGTAGAGGTGCCTTTCGCTTCTGAACTGGCAGGTCCAGTAATTTCTTTAAATCCTTGCTGGGAACAAAGGATTGACGAAAGTTTTTTGGTGGTTGACGAACAGTTGCAAAAAGAACAGACGTCAAAAACAGACAGAATATTTAAGACTTCGAAAGAAAACAGGCAAAGCTAAATGCTGGGCTCTTACCCTTGCCCTCTAAAACTGATCGGGGAAGAGGGTAGAGATGGATGTCCTCATCTGGAGCAAACTTCTAATTTCCCGAGGTAATAAGATAGTCATCTCCAGCCCCCTTGTTGGAGTCTGGGAGGTCGGCTACGATTTTGAATTTTGTAGACCTCGGCTTAAGATAATAAATGAAGCCTTTTTCTTTCAAGTTAAGGCCACACATGGTGTAGCAATATTGGATATCGGCAAGGGTGATCCTAGCGTTTTCCTGTTTAGCTAGAGCTATGATGCCAAAGATCACTCGATAGGAATTGATGGCCAGTTGCATAGGATTCAACTTATAGTAATGGAGAACTTCACGAAACAGAATGTTTAAAGGAAGCCGAAGTCCACACTCAGTAAACGCTACAATGGGAAGGGGCATGGCGTTTTCTGTAGGCATGATGGAGTCATCATCCCCAACCAGTCTCAGATGGACATCGGCAGGGATGGAGAACTCCTGCCTAAAGTACTCAAGTTTGGTCGGGGTATCTACCCTGTGTCTCCACATACCCATGATATCAGCCTGAATTAGAAGGGTTGAAATTCAGAAGAAAGATGTTTCTTATAGATGGGACCTCGGCAAAAACCTAGGTTTGGGCTGGTACAGAAATTTGTAAGGAATGTTTCAGTTTTGCCCTAAATCGTGGGTTCTACAAACAAATCCCAAACCTAAAGCTATGAAGATGAAGATCGAAGGCACAGATCTGGAAAAGATATAAAAAAAAAAACAGAAAACAAAAACGAAATTTCAGAGTCAAGAATAGAGATGGACTATCAAGAACATGAAGAATACAAAAGGTTGAAGGCCAGAAAACAGTAGCAAGACGTGCAAGAAACACTAAGAACAGTACATGTATTCAGGGCATAAGCAAAAAGCAAAATCAACGCATTCAGATGTATGATCTACAAATTGATTACTTAAGCAAAACAGTAGTAAACAAGAAATTCCAGGAAAGATCAAGAACTGGAATAGAAAGAAGCAGATGCTTACCAGAAAAAAGGAGGCCGGAAATGGATTTGCCGACGTCCTATGACGGTTGCAAGAGCAGAAGACCGGTGGAAATCTCGTCGGAAGGGGTGAGAAAGATGCAGAACTTTGGAAGACTTGAGCAGTGGCGGATTTGAAGGAAAGAGTTTAGAGAGAGAAAAAGCAAGAGAAATCGGATGCAAAAGTGAAGAGACGGAAAAAAGGGAAAAGTTTTTTATTAAACAGAAACGGCGGCAAAAGCAATCAATACGCCTAGAAGAACGAGGGCGTCAGACAGCGCACGTGAAAAAAGAGATGGCTAACAAGCGCGTCAAGTGTACGAACCAATAAGTAGGAAACGTATGTCTAAAACGGTTGAATTGAAGTGCATGACAGCTCATGCACGTAAGAAGTTCCTTAAAAATCTTGATTTTTTAGGAAAAGCATGTCGGCCAGAAATGAATGATCTCGGCTATCAAACCTTAAGCCGATTTACTAGAAGAAAATACAGATATAGGTTCCATCACCTCAGAATGCCGTAGAATGCCGAGGTAATAGAACCTATGGGCAGTTGTGGGGATGTATTTTCTAAATACCAACACGTGGCAAGGTGACGCCGACGTGTCAGCCGAGGTGCCACGTGTCATGGTTGTGATGCCGAGGTTGTCTTGGCAGGGCCGAGGTTATCTCCGAAGATATCGAAATCCAAGATAAATGGATAAAAGATAAGGGACAAGAGTCCTAGAGTAAAAATGGGACTTAGCCAAGATAGGGATAAAGCTCTTAGGGAGTTTATCTTTATCTCTTGAGGAGTCCAAAGTAAGTACTGAATTGGAGTCCATAGAAGTCAAGCTTCTAGTGGGACTAGGATTGAGTAAACTATAAAAGAGAGGCACCCCCGTGGGTCTAAGGTACGCAGTTTTATGCTTTGAGTAGTGAGTTTAGCACTTGAATATCTTTGAGAGATATACTGACTTGATCGTCGGAGTGCCCCCGGGTGGAAGAGCCACCGCCAGAGCTTTTTCTTTCTGTTGCAGGTTAGTTGAAGCCATCTATTTTGTCGGTGCTCTCCAACTGATTACTAGGCGGGCAGTGTGGTCAGAAAATTACCCACACAATCTATATAGATACAAAAAGATTCTGCTTTTCCATGAGCGAAATGGTTCGATCTGTCGATGCATACTTTGTGAATGTCATTTGCTTTGAAATGTCGATTTCAGGTTGTTAAACTATAATTTCACCTAGTTTGCATTTCTTCAATGGCTCATTTTTCATTTTGAATTTAAAATTTGGAGATCTGGTGATAAATCTATGGAGAAAATTCATAGCAATTTTAGCACATTTTGCAGTATGGTTTGAAGGTAGTGATTTAAAGGCAATGTTGTGTTGTTCTCCTAATAGTTCTTTGCTTAAAGTCCACAAACTTTTGACTTATTTTTGAACTGCTTCAAATGTCTCTCCAACTTGTTTCAGTTTTGTAACCTCAAGATCTATACTTAATACTAAGCTAGCTAGTCAAATCAAAGCTGGCAAAATTTGCATTTCTTGCCTCTTTCTTTGAAGATGATTTATTGTTATGAAATGAGTTCAGTTTTGTTGTTGTTAATAGTCAAAAATTTTGCAAGAATAAATGTGTATATATACAAATCTGTTTATTTTCCTATATATGAATTTGATGTGTTTAGACTGAAATGGAAGATGATGTTGGAATGGTTAAAGGAGATGACCTCCAATGAAGATCTCGCTAATCTCATCGAGGAATATGATCAAGTTTCATCACGGCCTCCTATTTTCCCTTTTTTCATCTCTGTGTGTGTGTGTATATATATATATATATTATATAAATTTTGTTCTTGGTTTGAAATTAATTTCAACAAATAAAAATTGTACCTATAAAATAGGCTCTGTGATATTAAATAGATACGTGAAATAGGCTTGAACAGATAGGGAAAAATTGTAACAGATAAAAATTGAACAAATAAATCAAAAAATTTGAACAAATAGAAAATAATTTTGAACAGATAGATATAAATTTGAACAGATAAAAAATAATTCGAACAAATAGTTGAAAAGATTAAAAAAATTAACAATAGGGTAAAAACATTGAACAAATAGGAAAAAATTAAACATATAGAAACTTTTTTTTTGAACAAATAAGAAAAAGATTAAACAGATGGGAAATTTTTTTGAATAGATAGAAATTTTTTTTGAACAGATAGTCAACTAAAGTCAATAGATAAAAAAAAGTCAATAAGGATAAAATTAGAAACAAAAAATCATTCAAAACCAATAAAATAATTTTACACCAAAGTATTTCATAAAATGTGGACCTCTTACTAATAAAAAATATTTACTAGACCCATTACTTTATACACTCTATGAATTGGATTTATCATGAATTTTTTTTTATAAATTATTATTCATAATATGCAAAATTATTTATAATTTTTATTTTTTAACTTATAAAATTAACTTACATTATGTTCTACACTTGTCCCACTTCCGTCACCTCCCGACTTGTCTCACCCCTAATATAGGCCTCGTTTGGGAAGTGACTATTTTAGTAGGCTATTTTAGTTTTTGTCTATTTTAAATAGGCTAAAATTTTTGTGTTTGGGAAGATGATTGTATTTTTTTGTGATTGAATGTGATGTTTGTGAGAAAAAAAGTGAAATGATTATGAATTTGATGTGATATTTTATCTTTTTGTAATTTTTAATTTAAATTTAACTATTTTTTTTCTTTCCAAACACCCCTGATATAGAGTCGAGACGGATTTCTATAAATCTACTCCAAACTCGATTCGTAACTATCCCTATACAATATATCAAACAAATATTCAATATAATAGTCAAATCACCCTATTCAATATAATAGTCAAATCACCCTAATATTATTTATATAAAAAAATAATTATAATAAACATATCAATTCCCAAAATTCAGTTGTCACTCGTGAGTTGTAGGGTTTCCTGTGTCTTCAGCTCACCCGAAGTTTCCGGAGTTACGTACGTATATCGTTTATTACCATTGAGGCGATCCCCAAAGCATAAAGTGGTAGACAGAGACAGTATGCGATCAAAAGATCGAGAGCCTCGTGCCTTCTTCTATCTACCTTCGTAGGTTCATCACCAACTTCGATCTCCGAATTGTCATCCATAATTGCAGCACCAGGGTGCTTATTCATCGAGAAAGGTTCGATTTTGAAACGGTTTTTGAATTTTAGTTGGTTCGTTTACTATTTGTGACCTTGAATTATTTTCTGAGTAATTTTTTTTCTTCATATATTTGTTTATGTCTATATGTTCATCATTTGAATATATATGGTTATTGAATTTGGCCACTTTCTGTTAATGGAATAGGATGAAATTTTGTATAGTTAATTTGCGATTCACTGCGTTAATCGGATAAACGGGATTGTATCTTCTCTTTTTGTTCTTGATTGACATAGTGCCATGGAGGGAAATTTTTACATTATCTGAATAACTTCGGTCATGGTATTGATTTTCAGGAGTTATATGTTGGTTTTGATGTTCTTTTTAGCTGGGTCAGGGGCAGAACCAGAAATTTTGTATAGGTAAAAAAGAAAAATGAAAAAATTGTGACATGTTGTTGATTAAAATTGATTCGATGAAATTGATATAGTATTAATTAACGCGTGAAACAGTTGGAAATCATCTTATTATAAATACTGAAATACTAATGGAATAGAGAGTTAGCAAGCTGATTTTTATAGGGAACCATCTAATTATGCATTTGACACAAATATAAACATAATAATGGAATTTTCAAAAAATGGAATTACATGGCCCCCCTCAACCCCTTTGTAGTTCCACCACTTTTGTAGTTCGACCACTGGCTGGGTCCTTTCTTCTGTAAATTCGTCCTGTGTTTCCTTATTTTCATTTTACAATAAATTAAGAGATAGATTAGAAAGAAAAAGAAAATTGTTGGTAAAGGCTCACAGAGACGGGTATATGCTTCAGAGATATTTCTGACAGACAACATATTTGTCGTTTGTGAAAGAAGTTTTCCCCTCCTTATATATTAGCCTGCTTCTTCATTTCAGGTTGCTGATTTCCTGTTACACTGTGGAGCAGAAGGTTTGTTACTTAGTAACTTGATAATAGATGACTTGGGAGTTATGAGCTCATCTTTTGAACATTGTGCCAATGGTTGTGATATATGTAATAAACAGGTGCAAGAGAAATTGCTTTGTTTGAGAGGGTAAGATGCCATCTAATTATTTCTCCAGTCTAGGCACTGCATTCAAGCGGGAAGTCCAGAGGTCGATTGCAGGGAAAGAAGGTGTGCTCCAAGACTCAGTCAGAGTTCTTGTTGGCCAGGGAAAACTGTTTTTTGGCAGCACTAGGTTTTTCCATTCCTCGCCATTTTCATCATTTAGCGATCTCCATGTGCTTTTACGACCTGGAACTGTTGCTGCACAATCAAATTTGCATTTAGTAAATCGAAGGAAAAATCTTTCAGTTGTTGGAGCACTTTCGCGCACGTTTTCTATTCCGTCTGTGTCAGGGCCTTCATTTCAGGTTTGTGGGTATCACGTTGATCGCCTACTATCTGAATCCAACCACTTTCCTTTGGGCATAAAGTTTCAGAAGATGCCAATGGCAATTTGTGGTTCTAGGGCTGTATTTGGCCACTGTTTATTGAATAATTTAACTTCAAAGCTTGGGCATCTCACAGTGTCAACAAGTAACGCTGCTACGTTTTACAGCAATAAAAGTTTCGACAGCTGCCAAAAAGCCTGCATGAGTTTGAGAAATAAGGAACAATCCAACAGTTTATTTCTCTATGGATATTTCATATATAATGTCACGAAAAGGAGTGGCAACTCTATTCCATACTTGGGGTTCAGATTGAAGGGCTTCCACAGCTCATCACCTGCAAGTTCCTCTGCCAGGACTGCAGCTGATGTGTCCTTTGACAACTCTGGATGTGAGGAACAACTTGCAAGTGCTGCAGTTGCTTCAGAACAGTATGTTTTCTTCTAGAATTTTTTATTTTTATTTTTTTAGTTTTATTCCACGGATTGAAGTGAGGAATTTATTGAATGCTATGAAACCGTTGTCATGTGGTAAAGTGTGATCAAAATAGTTGCAAAATACAATGCAAATTGGCAATGACTAACTAGTAATGTGTAATTAATATATCTTGCATAAGGTAATAATAAAAATCTAATTAATTGTTTGATAAACTATGGTAATGAAGCGTCTAACGTAAGGATGGATCTAGGGGGTGTGATGGGGGCGACTGCACCACCAAAAATTTGAAAAATATCATATATTATACTAGCAAAATTTAAAATTATAAAGATTTGCACCTCCATATATACTTTCTCACCCCCATAGTGATAATCCTGGATTCATCCAGTTGATAAGGTTCCTGTTTGGGTGCCAATTTTGTTTTAGGGAGATCTTGCAGGAGCAATTTTTCCCTTTACTATAGAATTGTGAAGCCATTCTTCTAAAGACACAAATACACAACAATAACATCAACTTCATCTTCATTTAAATAAAATATTATCTTGACTCCATTTTGGTCCTCTAGTGACAAATATTTTGTCTTGTCTCTCTTCGTGTTGTAATAAAGTAGTTTATCATACGAACTTATGTTAAGGCAAGAACATAACTTCTGAACTAACTCATCATATATTGGGCTTATTTGGGAAGTTTTGGCTTTTAACCCACTTTGGGTCACATCACTTCTCACATTTTTTATCCACAAAAAGACAAAAAAGCCAAAAAACAAGCTAAAAAGCCAGCTTTTAACCAACTTCCTAAAACACCCCATTGTGTTCCCATCTATTATCACAAGTTTTGCAACACTCCTCACTACCTAGGTGCCACCACATGCCTTCATCACATGCAATGAGTTGGACTCCATGGCCAGAATTCCCTAAATATAGTAAGCCACCTCTTTGGTATCTAAGTAATCACCTCCTTCGGCTGGGAGATTCTGTTTCATTAGTCCCACAGCTCCATTCTGCCTCTCTTTCGCATCCTAAATTTGCCTCAACCGTCATGGAGCATGTCTTTGGTGGTCTTTTGCCTCCTTATGCCTACCATTAGGGTTGTACATAGGTCGGGTCGTGTTGGGTTGGGTGAGACCTCAATCCAATGTCAAATCGAAAGTCTTGTCAACCAGATCACACTTTGAAACCATCAGTGAATGGTTCTTGGTCCTGTGGCCGTTTTGGTTTAGTTTTACGGGTTGACATGCATATCATAAACCCATTGGCAAGACCTCTACAAAACACTTACCAATTAAACTAGTAGCTAAAAAAAATACAAAATCCACTTAGAAACTGAAATTATTTCCCTAAATAATGAACTAGAAAAAAATATAAAATATAAAAATTTTCATGAAAAAAAAAGGAGTACAAACCCACTTACAAAATCTTTACAAACTATTTACATAACTTAAATTATCGACAAAGACAAACCAATAACCAAAAAAATTACAAAAACTGCACAAATCTTTTCCTTGGGTTTGACTGACTGAGTTGTAAGGTGAAGTCGTCACCAAATGAGGAACACAACGAGTTGATAAAGGTTTGTGAGGTTTGGAATCAAAGATTGAAAGTCTTCACCTTTAGCCTTAAGGTTTTCATCTTCAACTAAACTCACTTCAATAGGGTTTGCGTCTTCAAAGAGAGAAAGAAGGATCATGAGAAAGAGGGAGATGAGAGAGTGAGACCCTAGATGAGAGGTTCTGAGACCATGCGTGTGAGAGAGAGAGAGAGAGAGAGAGAGAGAGTTAAGTGATTGAAGTTTGAAGGGTGGAAGAGATAAGGTCTTGGAAATATAAAGTCTAATTCATAGACCTAATCAAATGGCGAAACGTGGCAAGTGTTACAACTTTTGTATTTATCAGTTTGGTTAAAGTATAATAGGTTTTCTTAGACCACACTCCACACCTACCAAAAATCAAACAAACTGGTGAATCTGGTTTGGTTCTATCCGAAGGAGTTCTTGAAATCGTCCAAAACATAGTTGGTTCAAATGAGTTGGCTCATTTTGACCAGGTGTTTCGAATTTCCGAACACCCCTGCCTGCCATATTTCCCATAAGGCTCTCTTACCCATCGGGCTGACCACCAACCCTCTATCCTCCTAAAGCCAACTCAACTCTCACCGAGTTCTCTTTTGTGGTTTGGTGCCTTCTACATGGACGATACTTATGCATGACTCCTAGAAATAGTGTACTCATCTTTCACCATGCACCAGTAACAATATTTTTTACGCTAATACTGTTACATAACTTGTCTATGATTTCTTCATTATATTTTGGTTTCTGTTATGTTTGTTACAAAAACTTTTGTAAGGTGCAATCAATTTGCTCAATATGCCTTTACCTTCTATGGCCATGGACATGACCATATTAAATTTGATTCCATTCGTTGGTGAAAAATCTAAAATCTCCTGAGATATTGATTTGTGATAATAATTCAATTTTAAACAATGAATATTAATCCCAATCAAACAATCAACAACAAATCGGTACAAGATTTAACGTGAAAAAAACTACAATTGGATTCCTCCAATTGTGATAAAAAAATCATGGGTCAAGGCCATAAAACAATCTATTAAGAAAACAAAAAAGAGTTACACACGAGAACCCTTAATTACCTAGCGAATTCATGCACAAATTGAACCGAACCCGAAGTGCTTTTTCCATCACCGTCTTCACCTTGGAATTGCTTTGCCCAATGTTAAATCCACAACAATGAGCTACTCTGGAATCCATCTGAGTGTTAGACCCGAGTTATCTGGAATCCACCAATGAACACGGCTCTCTTTTTGTGAGTGAGAGAACAAAAACAACCTTTGATGTTTGTCAATATTTAGTTCGTTGATCAATCGATCACCTTCTATACATCAAGGAAACTAATATATAAACCTCCTCCAATATAGAACACTTTGTTTTTTACTCCTCTCTGAGAGTTTGGACGGATTCGACCTTAAAACGTGTAAACGGTGTACTTTATATTAAACAGAGCCTCGAAGACTGCTTGAGCGCTTACTTTACCGCTCGAGCGATGAGACTGAAGGCAGTGCTCACATATAGGCCAACCGCTCGAGCGCAACGTCTACCACTTGAGCAGTAAACATGTTTCCCAGAAGTTCAGTATGCAGGCTGAGATACTGTATGAACTACTTCACTACTCGAGCATCCCAAAAGTTCAGAATGCAGGCTGAGATACTGAATGAATTACTGAGCGGTAAAACATGCTTCCCAGCACTCAATCCCCATACTTAGTCAGAGAAGAAGCAAACAAGGACTGCTCAAGTCAAGATACAGAACGTCAGTACAAACTCCTCTACTCAGGCACAACACGGGTTAGATTCGCATCTAAACTCTCATATCCTCACAGATACAAAAAACGAAAGCCATTACAATTGAATGGTGTTTTTGTCCAACGGGATTGCCAATTACAAAAAACCTAACAATTGGTAATCTGCTTTCATTTTAAAAATGTTTATTTGTATATTCATAGTCAAAGCATTTCATGCTTTGCAGTGATCTGCTTACTTTATGCATGAAACTGACAGTTTAGCTAAAGGTGTGTTTGGTTTATAATCGACCACATGTTCCATATATATATATATATATATATATTGTCAGGAGCTGATTTTATAAAAAAAAAAAAAATAATTTTGTGAAAATCTATTTAAGTCAGTATAAAAGCTGGTAGTGTTATTGAGTTTTGTCTTTATTTATTATGTTACTTTTTGACTACAGGAAGGACCTAGCAGAAAGAACACTGAAGTTAATTTCAGGGTCATTTTACTTGCCTCATCCTGACAAAGAAGAAACTGGTGGGGAGGATGCCCACTTTATATGTGCAGATGAACAAGCAATCGGCATAGCAGATGGTGTTGGGGGTTGGGCTGATCTGGGTGTTGATGCGGGACAATTTGCTCGAGAACTCATGTCTCATTCAGTAGATGCAATTCAAGAGGAGCCTAAAGGCTCTATTGACCCCGCCAAGGTCTTGGAGAAGGCTCATTCAAGCACGAAAGCCAAAGGGTCCTCAACTGCTTGTATCATTGCACTCACAGAGCAGGTTTGCTGCTTTGTGTTTAGTTGACTGCCTCTGTTATATTGCTTGTATAAGTTGCTTCTGACCTGTAAAGCTTTGATATTTGGGTTTTTGGTGGGTACTAAAAGGGGAGGACAGGGGAAGGGGGGAATTCGAGGTGTAGTTTATGTGACCTTTTCTTTCCCTTTTTACTAGGTTTCATTTGAACTGGAGATCAGTTTAACCTCTAATGGCATTGTTATGTATTTTTTAAGTTTTCTTATCCAAAGAAAGACCAGTTTATCAGTGAGTCCCGAGATTGCATTGATTATCAATTGTTTCACTGAATGTGATAAATAAAAAATTATAGTGTCATACATACGAAGAATAAACCTGAAAGCTTTCCATACCACACATGCAGTATTGAGCAATTGCATTTCAAGAGTTGGGCTTTGGACTTGAGAAGGTTGAAAGCTAACTTAACCTAGAATTTGAGACTGAACACTTTGTCAAAGCTTTGTTAAAAAAAAGGTTTTGTTCCATTTTGAATGCTCCCTTCGTATAGTAGGATCTGGGTTACCCCACTTTTCCTGGATGAAAGGAACTGAAACTCATATCTGGTTCTATTATTAGTTTTGGCCATTATAAAATCTCCTTTTGATTGTCACCTGATTATTTTTTATGGTTTAATTCTTCGGAATAAGAACAAGATAACTGGAACATCTATTTTGTGTATTTTGCAGAAACAAACTTTTAATTCTGCTTTGCTTTGCTTTGCAGGATCTGCATGCCATTAATTTAGGAGACAGTGGGTTTATAGTGGTTAGAGATGGATGCACCATTTTCCGATCCCCTGTGCAGCAGCATGATTTTAACTTCACATACCAATTGGAGAGCGGAAATGGCGGTGATTTACCTAGCACTGGTCAGGTCAGTTACTGCACTTAACTTTTGTGCTGCTCCCTTAGTGCAGAAAGTTTCTGTTTTGGTGGATTTGCAGATTCTATATTTGTGATGGCATAAATTTGGTAGTTTTATTCTAGATTGTTTGTAAGTGATGTTAATGGATCATCTATTCAATTCAATGCTCCTGGAGTTTTTATTCCCCTCTTCCCGGAACCACCAAAAGTGCCCTACTTTCTTTAGTAAGTTGCAGAGTTTTGCACTGAGTCTGTTTCTCTCGTGAGTGAAACATTGCAGAGTCTGGGATTTTATCGTCCCTGCTTGTGCAAGTGGAATCCTTGTTGGCATTGGGACTTTTTGTGAGAATTTGACATATCATGTTGTGATAATGAATTTGCATTTGTGTGTTATCTGGTTATATAATCTAATATTCTGTGGATGTTTTGAGTCATCATTCTAATTCTCAACCATTGTTGGTTTTTAAAATTCTCTCCGTTGAGTCACTTTTCCTACTTGAATGCATCGTTGACTTTTCTTGCTAGCTTCTCATTTATTCTGGAGTGACCCTGAAACTGCCTAGTAGCTTTTTCCTAACCTGACTAGTAGTTCTGCTATACATTTCACACAAGAACCACAGGGTCATTTTCAATCAGCAATTTTGGTTGTATAGAAACAATTTCAGCAACTGATGTCAACCAAACAAATGCCATGCAAAGCACAGAATAGCACAATGCATGATGTCTCAGCAATTATTCAAAAATTTACCTGATTGAATATGGAATTGATAAACAACCGATGTGACCCGTGTTTGATACAGGTCTTTACAATTCCTGTTGCTCCAGGAGATGTTGTAATTGCTGGCACTGATGGACTCTTTGACAATTTGTACAACAATGAGGTTAATGCAGTGGTGGTTCATGCCATGAGAGCTGGCTTGGGGCCCCAGGTTACAGCTCAGAAGATAGCAGCGCTGGCTCGCCAACGAGCCCAGGATAAGAACCGTCAGACTCCTTTCTCCACAGCTGCCCAAGATGCTGGATTCCGTTATTATGGCGGCAAGCTTGATGACATCACCGTCGTCGTTTCCTATATTACCAGCAGCAGAAATGTATGACTCTCTCTCTCTCTCTCTCATGCACACACATACATCCGCATAATATAGGTAATTATTTTTTTTTATTTTTTTATCAGCAACAAAAAAAGTATTTTATTAAAAGGAGAGAAAAAATACAAACAGGAGGACAATGAGTCTGCCACAATAAATAAAAACAAAAGAACAAAGGAAATCAATGCCTCAAAACTACACGTCACACTGCTATCCAATCTCTAGAAATCAAAAGAAAGGAATCCCTTTAAATGGAGAGAAAACAGAAGCCCAAAAGGATGCCACGTGACATTCTATCCCATAACAACTCTATGTACTCGAACTTGTCCTTGAAAATCCTAGCATTTTGTTCCAACCATGCAAGGTGTTACAATTTCACAAAGCTTTCGCTTTCTTGTTACAACCGAAACTCCGAAAGTCAATCAAAAGCCTTTGGGCACAAATAGCTGGAGCGACCCAACAAACATCCACCAACTGAAAAAGGAGATGCCAAAAGACCAAAACCACATGACAATGCAAGAATAAATGATCCAAAGATTTCCCATTCCACACATGATACAATATAAGTAATTAGTTATATGTTCAGTTGTACATGCCAAATCAACCTAGCATAGGAGGTAAATCTTTATTTTCTCTGATGTTTGCCTGTGTCTTCAATTCTAAACTTTCATATAACTTGTACAACATAATTTAGATATACAAATGGCATAATATCATCTGTGCACCAGACCTAAATCATCAATATAAAAATCTTAACACTAGTTGGTTTCAAAATCTTGTGACTTGATGTAAGAAAGTGATGATTCTGAAAGGTATATAGGATGCTATTGTCTCCTCACTAATGCTATTTTGTGTGTGTATACACGCTTCTGGTGTTATTGTTTAGTGGAACTTGTCTTTGACATTTGAGGTGGGTCATATACTCCCTTAATGTTGTAATAAATGATAGAAATGCGTCAGTTTCTTCCTTATGTCTGCCAGCTCGATCGAAAGATACAATGTTTTGTCCCAAATTCTAGCCAAAATTCAGTCAAAAACATAAAGTAGCTCTGGATTGTGAGACTGATTTTCTTGGCATATACTTCATAGAAATCTGAGAAAGCAGAAAAAGCTTAATGAATCAGTCCTTTTCTAGAAATTGGTTCTAATGGTTGTCTATATTTGTTATATTGCAGGAGTCTTCTCCTTCAGTTTGCGAGTCTGGTTAGAGACTCTGCCAGGTTTCTTGGCTTGAATCATCAATCTGGTTGGCGTGTTCTGGTCTGATGCTTATATGTGATGAAGTTTAACCAGTCACCATTTTTGTCTTTCTTTTGCTAATGATCCTCGTGTACTCTGCACTCTTGAACTACTACTACTGTACATAAATAGATGTCAATGTATTCTAGGCATTTTTGCAAGGATGGGGTTTTAAGGTTTTGGGAACGGGGGTAGATTCTTGTTGCCAACTAATTTGACAGTGTTGTAAGAAACTCCTTATGTAAATTACTAGTATGAAACCTAGGACATGTTGTGTTTGGTGGACACATTGAAAATGATGGTGCTAGTGGTTGTGGTAGTTTTGCTGTGGGGGGCGTGGTGGTGGTGGTGATGCAAACGTTGGTAAGACAGGTCAACTCATTAGATTCGAAAAACCTTTTTCTTAAAAAAGCAAAATCATGTTGACAGAATGTTCATTCTTTTGCTAACCAGGAATTTTTTTATTTTTATTTTATTTTATTTTTTTTGGGGGGGGTCCACACTCATCAGGGGTGTTATTTTTGGATTGTACCAAATGTTGGAAAGTATGAAAAAATGTTATGAAAAATGTTTCCACTGAAAACAAACTAGTTTTTCTAATAATTAATTTGTTTAATAAATTAAGCAAGTATGATTTAGTAATAACATTTGTGATAATCAATACCACAAATATCATAACTTTGCATATGACGCACTTTTTTTTTATTTATTTTAAAAAAAGAATGTTGAGAGTTTTGCATATATTTAAATGCTTTGCAGTTTGCTCCACACAAAATTGCACAGAAATAAGCACATGTCTATGGCGGGACCACCCACAAGAATTTGCACCCAATACAAGGACAAAGATAACTCTCTCGAGAGACACGGCACACCATCGTTGTAAACTATTTTCATATTTTCCTGATCACAAAAATATTCCAGGAAACAATCGCCAAGAAAATTAAAAAATTTGAAAGTTCCATTACCGCCTGCTATAGTCCAACGAAATTCCACTTCTTTTTGGAATTTTCTTCTTATCCAAACAAGTAACCACACGGTAAGACCCTCACCACCACATTTTCGTTTTAATTCTCACCAATCCCCCAACCCCATCTCAGTTTCTGTCTTCTTCTGTTGTCTCTTTCTCAAAATTCCAATTTCACTTCACCTTGAAATTTATCACTGAAATTCAATTCAAAAGCTCAAAACTAAAAAAGTTTTTGGGAGAATTGATACAAATCAGAGTCATTAGCTTCAATTCTTTGTATGCAGACTCTGATTTGAATTCTGAGCACAGAGCCTCTTATCCTTTCTTGAATTAGAAACTGTTCGTTCGTTCATGGTATTATATGAATTGGGGCATTTCTTTTCTTTCTTTTTTTTTGGTAAAGAATTTCAACCTTTAGTTCTGAACAAGATTTCCCGCCATTTCCAATTTTGGTCGATTATTGATTAAATTAGTTTCGTTTCCATTAATATGGAGAGATTTAGTCAGAGAGAAAACATTTTACTGGGTTATAGCCCTCAAAGAGCTCTAGCATACCATAACTATTCCCCCAAAAAGCGTTCACAACACTCAGCTATTGATTTTCATGACGTGTTTGGTGGGCCACTGAGGCGGTCTTCGAAGCAGGAGATGAGTTACAGTTTCTGTGAAACCATGAATTCTAGCAAAAATTCAATTGGGGTAGGGGAAATGCCGGTATTTGGGGAGGAAACGGTGAATCGCAGGCGATATCCGAGTGATGATTTTTTTGATGATATTTTCAAGGGAGATGAGTCTTTGAGTTCACCAAGAAGGTCTGATCGGGACCCTTTTGGCTCGTCATCGCCTGGTTCACGGGTCTTAAGCACTGCTTGCCCTCTGCCACCTGCTCAATTTCAATTCAGGTTTTGGAATCCTTGCTCTCGTTTAAATTCATTTCTATATACATGATGTTATCTCTTGGAGCTCATTGCAGTTTATACAGAATTTTTGTTAATATTAAGGGCACATCTCAAAATCAGATCAATTCTTCTAATTGGTTCTATTCGCAATTACGAACAAACCTATATAACTAACAAAAGTACTTCAGATTCTTTATATGCCGTCCCTTGTGTTCTTTCCGAATATTGATTGCTAATGTTTCCAATAGTGGATTTTCAATCGGTATGTTATTGATTAGTGTTTTGAATTTTTCTTTACACATTTATACATTTCTATATCTATATTGAATTTGCCATGAACTGAGCATGTCAATGTATTTAGTAATGTTCCAGGAATCACCTTCATTGCTAAATCAAGAAAATAGTAGATCTAGTGAATGTAGACATGTCTTTTGATAAGTAAACTCCTAGATCTACTATTTTCTCTCATATTTCTTGTTTGTATTTCTTTTTAAATTTTGTATGTTGTTTCAACAATTCTTTACAATTTTGAGTGCACATTACTTTCTTTTTTTTTCCCTTCCCATTTTTAGATGGAAACTTGCTAATTTAATATTTTCTCTGAAGTTTCCTCAATTAGATTGAATTTTGCGAATTCTTTTTTGCTCATTGATTACTCTCCTCTAGAGTGCTATACAATTGAATGCACAGAAAACTTTTCTTCAGAAATGTATGCTGGCTATGGATTTAATGCTGTGATCTACCTCATGTATTGTGCACTTTAAAAATCCTCACTTGAACTGCCTTCAACTTTCCAGCCTTCCTTCCAAATTGACCAAAGCAACTGACGTTCCAGCATTTGCTTCCAATAATCACAGTCCTTATAAATACAAGGATCCCACTTCAAATGGGGTAAGCTCTCCATTGCCTAGACTTTCAAGTGAAGCTTTCAAGGAAGAGGATCAGTTGAGAAATGAGATTCACTCATCTAATCGCCATAGCCCTTTGTCCCATGAATATTCTCTTAGCACCAAGGAGCCATCATACATGACCAAATCTGATGCATTAGAGTCAGCAGACACTGGAGGTGACATGAAAAAGGATTTGAAAAGCACAGAAGCTCCAAGCAATAGCAGCCAGTTTCACTTTTCTATATACAGATGGGCAAGCAAAGGGGTACCACTGTTGATGCCTCGTAGGAGAGGCTATAGTCCAAAATCAAAAGAGAAGGTTAAAACTGAAAGATGCTTAAGCTCTAATGGAAGGATTGAAAGTGACAATATGGCTAGTGGATTGTCAGCTAATGAGTCCCCTAACACTGAAGGTAGGAATCAAGATGAAAGCTTATGTCTTAAAACAAGCATTGAAGATAGGGTTGAACCTTTCCATATTGCTCTGGAAGCTGTTCTTTCCATGCCAGGATCAAAATTCATCAACAACATTCCAGATATTGTTGAAACTGTAACTGATGATGCTATCTCGAGTGACAAAAGAGAAGACATAAAACCTCCTCATTCTGTTTCTGACATAGGTTTGTGTGCAAATACAGAAAAACAAGTTGATATGAGTATGCATGAAGTTCAGAAATCTGAGTTGAAGCCTCTGCGCTCTTTTCTCATTGAGGAGCAAGGTACTTTCTGTTTGAAGTCAAATCAAATTTGTGGTTATGTCTGTGCTGTCTTTAAAAACTAAACCTGTTTTCTTCCAGGCAATGGCGAGATAACTAGAAAGTCTGAAGCCAAAGACCGCATTGTGAAAGAGACTACAGTATCTCACTCAAATGCTCGCGTCAGTAAAAATGTAAAGAAACGCGATGAGAAAAGAATTCATTCAAATAGAGCAGAAGTAATTCAAGTGAATGAACCTCTCTCACAAGGTGCAGGCAGAACATCTGGAGATAATATTGGGAGAAATGGACTTGGGGGAAAGGTTAAAGAATTTGTCAAAATTTTCAACCAAGAAGGTACTTCAAAACCCAAAATTGACACTGAAACTCGAAGATGGAGAGGCACGGGCACAGACACTTGTGGAGCAGATAATGAAGGAAGTGCTAACACAACCCAAACAAATGGAAAAAAACATGTTCATAACGCGAACAAGGTGAAAACACCACCAAATGCTTCCATCATGGTAGTCTTTTTTTTTTTTTTTCCTGTCTATCTTTTCTTTTCCTCCATTTCTGGTAGGCAACAATGAGAAACCGTTGATCTGATACGTTTTGTCATGTTATTTATTTACTCATGTTAGTTTTCCACTCATGGTAATCAATATAATGGCATTCATTGAATTAGATGACGATGAAAATCGTTTGAAATCTTCTACTTGCAAATTAATCCATTTTGCATAGCGATTTTATTGGATTCAGTTGCTGAAATATTTCTGATATTTCAGGTAGACAAAAATCTTGCAGGGTCTGAGAAACAGCAGTCCCACACAAAGACTACTGTCTTTTGTGTTAGTGACAATTCTTTTGGTCAGAAAGATGCCTCAAAAGCAAGTTCTGGTTAGTTCTTCCAATTTTTTGCCATATGAGAACTATACATTGCATAGCAAAATAAAATAAAATAGAAGTATTAATACATATATAGCAAGAAAATGAGAAATATGAGTGACCCAAAATGATTAAAAATAGTTAGAAATAGCTGAACCATTTGAGAGGAATAAGCCATTTTATCCTGATATATTTTATTTGGAGATGTTGAAGCTGCACGAACTCTTTGCAGCGTGCCCAATATTGCCATCTGGTTAGCAAATTCTGAACCTGGTTGGATTAATTTGAAATGTTGTCTTAGATCCATTTTTTTTATGAACAGGGGCATTGTAATGTGCTTCTTCCTAGAAGGCTAGTGATGATCTTTAGAGGGGTGTAATTGGTGGTTTGACAAGAAAAGCGACATTTTATAACACATTATAAAAACACATCCTTGCTATTATCCCTTTTTATCTTCCAGAGAAAATGTAACATCTTACCAGGACTTCAATGAAAGGATTTGACTGAGAAATAGTCATTGAATGTAGGAATACTATCAGATGTATGAGAAGTTCATCCTATAATACTCTGTTTATGTACCTACATGAAGATATCAGGTTGTAGGACAAATATATACATAATGTATGCAAGATAAGGTCTTCGGATATACAATTTTTTTGACTAACTAAATTCTCTCTTTTGTGAGACAAACTAGTATCAGTATTGGTCCAATCATGCATTTGAAACTGTGTCATGGAACTTTTATGTAATTAACTACCCATTTTTCTTCAAATTATTGTGCATTTGATATTATATTTCACCTCTTTTGTGAACTGTACCATTTTATAACGCATTGTACTCCAGATTTTTTTTGAAGATGTGATACAAGTTGTTTGTGTATTCTTCTCAGAGTCAAGTCCTGATGGTTCTAAGGTTACAGTTGGAAACATAGATGATCTCTTCCAAGAGAACTTCATGGTATGTGGTTGCTCTATGTTTGATATGTTTTCTTTCTCTTCTCTTTGCTCATTTGCTGCAGTGCCTGTTTTGGTCTTCTGAAGTAGTCAGTGGCACATGGTTCCTTATTTAATAATTAATATACATAAGTTTCCATGCCAATTACATGTTGACATACATGTGTCATAATACTATAGAAACTAAAAGACTTCACTGCACTATGGATAGCTGATTGTACAAGATTAAGAGCATTATCTAGTTCTGCTTGTTTCTTTCAGTGCAATCTTACTAATGATCTAGTGCACTTGGCTTGAACAGATAAAAGAATTATCTAATGACGAAGACAAACCTCCAAACATTGGGGAAGATTACGAGGATATCCATGTAAATTTCTTTTCCTCATTACAACACTGCTAATCTCAGTAGAATCATTGATTTTACTAATAAATTTACAGCAGATTTCAGATGCCAAAATTTGGCAATGGTCGAATGGGAAAGAAGGAAACATCCGTTCGCTGCTGTCAACTTTACAATTTGTAAGCTTTCTGTTTCTAAAAACAATAGAATATCTCCACCATGTTGCAACTGTGACTACAAGCTGCACAAAAGCTTACTTTCATCTTATCACTAAAAGAGGGCCTGCAGCTCTATTGTCTCTTTTAGAAATTACACTGATCACCATTTTATGTGATTTAATGCTTCTTACCCTGGAAACATTTTCAGTAGATTCTTACTTGACTGCATTTTTAAAAGTGAGAAATAGAAAGTAGGATCCACAGGGATGAACTACCATACAAAAATTGCTGATGATTGGCACAAGAACTGCAGTCAACCCAGGTGTACCTTTCACTTGTTGTGAACTCATGATAATTATAACGCTTTGCATGTTCGGAAGAAAAATTTCCTTGTTATTACTACTATACACCAAGTTATGCCTGCATAAGTCATCATGGGGTTTTCTCCCCTTCAACTTGTCTATTCAATATCTGTTTTCTGTGTGAATATATTTGTTCTTTGTTATACATTTGTGCATAGGATGTCTATGTTGGAATATGGAAATAATTTAGGATCTCATAAATTCTGTATTACGGGATATTAGACTAGTTTTTAGTGATTATTGTTTTACCTTCCAAAATTGTAATCTCTTCAATTCAGTATATATATATACGAGGCTAGTCATGGATTATGATTGAGCCGTTCTTCACCCTCTTCTGTCTAAGTAGAGATGCAACTTTTTGCTTCATTTAACCAGAGAGTACAATTAGGGATGAAGTACTTGAAGGGGTGTGGCTCCAATTGTCAAAAGGCTTCCCACCAAGGAGATGCCTTATACCAGAAACTTACATATTCAGATGATTGAACCCAATTTCAGAGCTCCTGGTACTTGATGTCCAAAAACACTTCATTTAGTTGATCTTCTGAAATAATCACCTTGGCCTATACAGGACAAGCAACTCCGGGTGTTGAATGAATCTTCCAGCATTATGTTATCAGTCACATCCATGTACTGTCAGTAGAATGTCTACTACATCATGATTTCTTATTTGGTATGGTGCATCATGATGAGTTGTAACTTGTAATATTGTTCGGCACTATCGGATTTCTCTTGATAAGTTTTATTTAACTAGAAGCCTAATACATTGTTCTTGGTTTGTATTCCAGTTTATTATTCCAATATCAGATGATTCTCTCTCTTCTCTTTCCAACATTTTGATTGTAGCCAATGTTATCCACCCACCCCCCCTTCTTGTTTCTCTTCTTTTACTTCTCTTTGTTGGGATCTGGTACTAATAAGGAATTTCTTAATACAATAGCTTCTCTAAGGTCCATGCTTTCCTCATCTCCGCAACTAATGATATTTATACTTTCATAAACAGGTTCTTTGGCCTGGGAGTGGTTGGAAGCCTGTGCCGCTTGTTGATATAATTGAAGGAAGTGCAGTGAAGAGAGCATATCAAAAAGCTTTACTCTGTCTACACCCAGATAAGCTACAGCAGAAGGGTGTTGCTTCTCACCAAAAATATATTGCAGAAAAAGTTTTTGATATTTTGCAGGTATGAATCACTTTGTGTGGGAATTGTTCTTTCATAGATAAATATTTGTCATTTATTTATTTATTTAGTTTAGTTTAGTTTTTTTTTTTTTTGTTGAGGGAATGGTGTTGATGATGTGATGTGTTAATCAATAATTATGGTTAGTCACCCATCCACACTACATGGTCTGCTCAATCTGTCACTGGGATGTTGCAAGGGTCCACGGTTGCACATGATATTGAGCGACTTCTACATTTATACATTGCTTATATTATTTGAGGTCCCATGTATCTATCCAGAGTTTGAAGCTCAAGTACAATCTACTCAGAATTTGATTTTGTGGGATGTTCTGGTTCAACCATAGATGATGTAGTAGAACTGTAAAAGCAAGCATTAAACTAAAGCCATATAAACTAGTAGTGGTAATCGTGTCGTGTCATTACTGGTTCATGTCCAAAACACTCAACTACTAACATGACCCATTTACTACACGTATCAATTATCTTGACACTGAGGTGACCTACTTATAATAATGTCAACTTGAACACGACACGCCTAACACAATTAACATAAAAACTTATTTTAGATCATAATCAAGAAAACTTATTTCAGATCATCTATAAGGGTAAACTATTTAAACATTTACACCCACAAAGATAATATATATGCCAATCCTCATGAAAATAATTCAAAAAATTTATGAATTTATGACTAATCCACTACATATCTAATCTAAATTACTGTAACCCATTAATATCCAAATATCCAACAAGACTTTAAAATTAATCCAATCTGTCATAGTTGGCATATCATATTAGAGATTTAGAGTTGCACTTAACCTGCATGTTATACAGAGATCTAAATCTAATCCATTGCTGATGAGAATAAAAAATTTAAGACCCTATAGATTCATGTTGCATTTGAGATACCTACTAGTCAATAATGGGTTCGTGTTCACGTGTCGAAACAAATTTTTACATGGGTCAGATGAGTTGTGTTTGGGTTACGTGTGTTCAACCCGAATACAAGCCATTTAACATTTATGTTGCCGAGTCGTGTCATATTTGTGTTCTTGTCAAAAAATGACCAAACCCTAACCTTCTAATTACCAGTACAGTTCGAGTTGTGTTAACAGGTTCTGTGTCAAATTTCCACCCCTAATATAAACATTTCCTATTCTGCTGTGGAGTAATATGCAGCATATAGAAGAAGCCTGTGTTGTTAACTTTTCCCCTTGTTATTCTTTTGCACTCTCCTGATGGTATCAATTATCTTTTAGGTTTTCAGTGTCCTTACAGAATATTTTGCTATATCAGTGATATGGCTGTCATTTTGTCTTCAGTGGATCTTTACAGCTGATGGGTATCTACCTCACAGTGTTACATGAAATGCTATAGGGCCATTCAATATCGTGTGGAACATTTAAATGCACCTAATAAACTTGGCATCTATTATGATGTGGGTTATGGTGTTATGGGTCAGCTTTTACTACTGAACTGGTTCTATTCATGCTACAACTGTTGCCCGCATGGTTTATTCAAAAACTTAGTGCTGTCAGCAATTTTCATGTTATATTAATCATCAAAATTCATGAAATGCAAGTGATCATATGGCTAGCTTATTAGTTCTCTTATCTCCAACCAATCAAGAGATAGTCTGTCAAAAACTAGCACATAACCTCTGATTGCATATCATGATATCATATCAAAGCAAGTTTGTTTTTGAAGTTTTCAATCATCAAAGGTTTGATTAACAGATATTGTTTTTCCATACAGGAGGCATGGGACCAATTCAATTCACTTAGTGCAATATGATTATTCAATGCTCCGATAGCAACATGCCATTTGAAGAGGACTATGATCGTGCGTGGTGTTATTGGCAAGTGCACATGTAAATATCATTTTGAATATTCTGCATAGATATAAACAATTTATTCTATAGGGCATTCACAAGCATAATCTTGTGAGTACTAGAAAAGTGAGGAAAACACTTCCCCCCATACTTCTTATGGTGAATTGAAGTTGATGCACCATAAGAAAAGCAAAATTATAAATACATTGTTATAAAGTTCTCTGGAAAGAAATTTGGCGGACTTTGGCATCTTGGATCATTGTGTGTTGGTTGATCGGTAACTGGGAACAGTCACAGGAGAGGACTTGGGCATTGGGATGACAGATTAATAAGTATTCTTTCAAAGCTTTGTAAGAAAATATGTGTGGAATATGCAGTTAAATGAATTTTAGGAGTTTCTTGCTCTAAAAGCATACTGAAAGCTAGTGCTTTTTATTTACTTTGTCGAAGTAGATAAATTAAATTATTTTATTCAATTTGTTTACTCTGGCAGTTTATACTTAGCATTCCCAGGTGATCATATGAATTTTTACTACCATTTCTGACTTTTGTTAAATTATCCGGGGCTAGTCATGGGAGGAGGCCTTATATGGTTGAAAGTGTTTTGAAAGTATTATCAAAAAAATCGGATAAGGGAGTTAGCATTCTTGTATTTTTGGGGTGATCAGTAGAAGAATGAAAAGTAATATTTAGGGACCAAAAAAAAAAAAAAAATTTGAAAGTTTGAGTCTTGTAATAAAATAAATTCTGAGTTTTTAATTTTGTCAATTTAAATCCTAAATTTTAGATTTATTTTCAATCTAAATCATTTGACTATTTCTATTTAGGTAAAATCGATGAAAAAATAGGTATTCTAGTCATTAAACTTAATGAAAAGTATATTTTAGATATTTTATAAATACCTACATTGAATTTAATGATGAAAGCATTATTTTTTCGTCGGTTTTACTTAATGAAAATAGATGAATGGTTTAAATTGAAAACAATCAAATGCTTAAAGTTTAAATTGACAAAATTAAAAATTCATGATTTATTTTGTCACAAGGTTCAAATTCTGTGATTTTTTTTTTTTTTTTAAAAAAAAATTGTCCCTAATATCTATTATTGATTGTCTCAATTTTTGCTGCTTTCCCCTCCTAAGATATGAACACAGGGCCCACTCCAATGATCTGCTTAGGTTCATATGTATAAATCATTTATTAAAAAAATTAGATTAATCTATTAATAATAATTACTTTGAAAACATAAATTGTAAATATGATTTTGAAATAAACTTTATTTTTTCTGTAACTTAAGAGGATGAAATTACGTAATTATGATTATTGAATTTTTCTATTTTTTTGATGGATGATTTACATATAGGGATTTAAAAATTACATGAAACATATCAATTCATCGATCAGATTGGACCATCCAATCCACCTAAAATCGACTCTAGTGAATCCTAATCTAAATATATATATATATATATATTTTTTGGCTTGTCTTTAGTCTATCCAAATATACTAGGCAGTGCGGTTTGGCTTTATGAAATCCACCATGGTTTCTAATTCTAGTGATTTAAATTGTTTATTTTATGTAAGTTCATAAAATTATATTTCACTATATTTACTTTTAAGAAACTAGATAACAGTTATGTTTTTAAAATAAATCGTTTACGCTTTTTGAAACAAATACAATAATATCACATGTCCATAATAAATCGTTTCAAAATGATTAATTTAAATCATTAGAGTAAAATCTATAATGAGTTCCAAAAGCTAAACTACTATCCAGTCCGTCAAAGAAAACCAAAAAGAAGCCTAGGCTCCGTTATATAAAATGATTTTGTCTAAAAATAATTTTTTTATTTTTCAGTGTTTATTTAACACCTATAATATTTTCTATAATAAAAATCTTAATAGAGAACCTGTTAGCAGATATTTTAATATTATAATGTGTTATAGGTTGTTTTCTTTTCTTTTCTACTAGTTTACTTACTTTTTAAGTCTTTGCCAAGTCTTAGTCAAGTCTCCCATACTTATCCATCCAAGTCTTCTCCAAGTCTCCTCATTCCTATTCATTCTAGACTTCCAAAGTAAGCTTTCTTGGTCTTGGAAGAGCCTTTCCTCACAAACTTTCACTTCTATATATTGAACTTTGTCATATCACAAACTTTCACTTCTATATATTGAACTTTGTCATATCACAAACTTTCACTTCTATATATTGAACTTTGTCATATCACAAACTTTCACTTCTATATATTGAACTTTGTCATATCACAAACTTTCACTTCTATATATTGAACTTTGTCATATCACAAACTTTCACTTCTATATATTGAACTTTGTCATATCACAAACTTTCACTTCTATATATTGAACTTTGTCATATCACAAACTTTCACTTCTATATATTGAACTTTGTCATATCACAAACTTTCACTTCTATATATTGAACTTTGTCATATCACAAACTTTCACTTCTATATATTGAACTTTGTCATATCACAAACTTTCACTTCTATATATTGAACTTTGTCATATCACAAACTTTCACTTCTATATATTGAACTTTGTCATATCACAAACTTTCACTTCTATATATTGAACTTTGTCATATCACAAACTTTCACTTCTATATATTGAACTTTGTCATATCACAAACTTTCACTTCTATATATTGAACTTTGTCATATCACAAACTTTCACTTCTATATATTGAACTTTGTCATATCACAAACTTTCACTTCTATATATTGAACTTTGTCATATCACAAACTTTCACTTCTATATATTGAACTTTGTCATATCACAAACTTTCACTTCTATATATTGAACTTTGTCATATCACAAACTTTCACTTCTATATATTGAACTTTGTCATATCACAAACTTTCACTTCTATATATTGAACTTTGTCATATCACAAACTTTCACTTCTATATATTGAACTTTGTCATATCACAAACTTTCACTTCTATATATTGAACTTTGTCATATCACAAACTTTCACTTCTATATATTGAACTTTGTCATATCACAAACTTTCACTTCTATATATTGAACTTTGTCATATCACAAACTTTCACTTCTATATATTGAACTTTGTCATATCACAAACTTTCACTTCTATATATTGAACTTTGTCATATCACAAACTTTCACTTCTATATATTGAACTTTGTCATATCACAAACTTTCACTTCTATATATTGAACTTTGTCATATCACAAACTTTCACTTCTATATATTGAACTTTGTCATATCACAAACTTTCACTTCTATATATTGAACTTTGTCATATCACAAACTTTCACTTCTATATATTGAACTTTGTCATATCACAAACTTTCACTTCTATATATTGAACTTTGTCATATCACAAACTTTCACTTCTATATATTGAACTTTGTCATATCACAAACTTTCACTTCTATATATTGAACTTTGTCATATCACAAACTTTCACTTCTATATATTGAACTTTGTCATATCACAAACTTTCACTTCTATATATTGAACTTTGTCATATCACAAACTTTCACTTCTATATATTGAACTTTGTCATATCACAAACTTTCACTTCTATATATTGAACTTTGTCATATCACAAACTTTCACTTCTATATATTGAACTTTGTCATATCACAAACTTTCACTTCTATATATTGAACTTTGTCATATCACAAACTTTCACTTCTATATATTGAACTTTGTCATATCACAAACTTTCACTTCTATATATTGAACTTTGTCATATCACAAACTTTCACTTCTATATATTGAACTTTGTCATATCACAAACTTTCACTTCTATATATTGAACTTTGTCATATCACAAACTTTCACTTCTATATATTGAACTTTGTCATATCACAAACTTTCACTTCTATATATTGAACTTTGTCATATCACAAACTTTCACTTCTATATATTGAACTTTGTCATATCACAAACTTTCACTTCTATATATTGAACTTTGTCATATCACAAACTTTCACTTCTATATATTGAACTTTGTCATATCACAAACTTTCACTTCTATATATTGAACTTTGTCATATCACAAACTTTCACTTCTATATATTGAACTTTGTCATATCACAAACTTTCACTTCTATATATTGAACTTTGTCATATCACAAACTTTCACTTCTATATATTGAACTTTGTCATATCACAAACTTTCACTTCTATATATTGAACTTTGTCATATCACAAACTTTCACTTCTATATATTGAACTTTGTCATATCACAAACTTTCACTTCTATATATTGAACTTTGTCATATCACAAACTTTCACTTCTATATATTGAACTTTGTCATATCACAAACTTTCACTTCTATATATTGAACTTTGTCATATCACAAACTTTCACTTCTATATATTGAACTTTGTCATATCACAAACTTTCACTTCTATATATTGAACTTTGTCATATCACAAACTTTCACTTCTATATATTGAACTTTGTCATATCACAAACTTTCACTTCTATATATTGAACTTTGTCATATCACAAACTTTCACTTCTATATATTGAACTTTGTCATATCACAAACTTTCACTTCTATATATTGAACTTTGTCATATCACAAACTTTCACTTCTATATATTGAACTTTGTCATATCACAAACTTTCACTTCTATATATTGAACTTTGTCATATCACAAACTTTCACTTCTATATATTGAACTTTGTCATATCACAAACTTTCACTTCTATATATTGAACTTTGTCATATCACAAACTTTCACTTCTATATATTGAACTTTGTCATATCACAAACTTTCACTTCTATATATTGAACTTTGTCATATCACAAACTTTCACTTCTATATATTGAACTTTGTCATATCACAAACTTTCACTTCTATATATTGAACTTTGTCATATCACAAACTTTCACTTCTATATATTGAACTTTGTCATATCACAAACTTTCACTTCTATATATTGAACTTTGTCATATCACAAACTTTCACTTCTATATATTGAACTTTGTCATATCACAAACTTTCACTTCTATATATTGAACTTTGTCATATCACAAACTTTCACTTCTATATATTGAACTTTGTCATATCACAAACTTTCACTTCTATATATTGAACTTTGTCATATCACAAACTTTCACTTCTATATATTGAACTTTGTCATATCACAAACTTTCACTTCTATATATTGAACTTTGTCATATCACAAACTTTCACTTCTATATATTGAACTTTGTCATATCACAAACTTTCACTTCTATATATTGAACTTTGTCATATCACAAACTTTCACTTCTATATATTGAACTTTGTCATATCACAAACTTTCACTTCTATATATTGAACTTTGTCATATCACAAACTTTCACTTCTATATATTGAACTTTGTCATATCACAAACTTTCACTTCTATATATTGAACTTTGTCATATCACAA